AGTGTCCCACAAGAGTGTCCGACAAGAGTGTCGTACAGGAGTGTCCTACAAGAGTGTCCCACAAGAGTGTCCTATAAGAGTGTCCCACAAGAGTCCTACAAGAGTGTCCCACAAGAGTTTCCTACAAGAGTGGCCCACAAGAGTGTCCCGCAAGAGTGTCCTACAAGAGTGTCCTTTGGACATATTAGTTTTTCGATCGTGTTTGCATTCGGGTTCGTGGGTTCCATCTTGTTCCACACTTTTTTCTATTCGTTTAACACCGGACCACCGCGGCCGAAAGGAAATAGATGGGCGCACGGGATTCCCCCGGTGTGCTCCCTGTGTCTCCCCCGTTAAGGGAATAAACACAGAGACAGGGGGAGAGGAGAAAAAGTGTAGATGGTTAGTTAATTATTGATTGTTAGTTATTTGGCTGGTCATATTCCTTCAGTTCCTGTCTTTCCTTGATGTGGGGAGTCTGTTTGAAGGACAAGCAGAAAAATCGTTTTTCAAACATTAAACCTTGTACGCGCACACACACACAACAGACACCGACTTTTTTGCAGTGGAGGCAGGGACATGTGTGGTTGGCTGGGAAACGATAAGAGACTGGATACTGATTTCCAAACATTGAAAAACAATAAAGAGTTAAAAGCGATCAGGCTTTAAGTTGTTATACCAAATGTATAGGGTTTGTTTAATATTAAGCGTCGTAACGCGTGAAGCATGTGTCCGCACCGCAGGCAGGATAGTCCTGGTAGCGACGGCCTCTGTCACGAAAGCTAGCCTTAGCTAGCTGAAGTTGCTCTTGCTTTAGCAAGTTAAATGATGGGGTGGACGCGCCTCAGAAACCTAGAATAATTGATTAAATCAATCTTATGGACCCCCCCCCCCTCCCGAGGTTCAACTCCCCCCTGCGCGCGGTGAGCGGGTGGAAAAATTTGTTGCTGTTGCTGCTGCTGTAGCTGCTGCTGCCGCCTGGTGTGCTCGTCTGCTGCTGCTGCTGGATTTTGCTCCTGCTGCTGCTGGGTGGTCTGCCTTGGCTGCGTCTTCTGCTGCTGCTGCGGGGTGGGCTGCTGCTGCTGCTGCCGATGTTGTGGCTGCTACTCGGTTTGCTGCTGCGGCTGCTGCTGCTGTTGTGTTTGCTGCTGACGCTGCCGCAGCTGCTGCTGCTGCTGCTGGGGTTGCTGCTGATCCTGCTGGGTGGTCTGCTGCTGCTACCGCCGCTGCTGCTGCTGCTGGTGGATTTGCTCCTTCTGCTGCTGGGTGGTTTGCTGCCGCCTTGGCTGCGCCTCCCCCCCCCGGCTATGCACTGTGGGAGCACTTGGACTCCACGTGTGCTCTAAAGCAGTTTTGTCAACCTTTGAGCACCGATAGTCCGAGTGCGCAAGAGCCAAATGACGCTACCTGACTCCACATCGGAACTTGTGGTGTACGAGGGGTAAGGCTATGATGCAAGAAATGCTGCCTACACATTGCACCCAAAAAGGTGTTAATTTTAATTCCTTTTTTCGTACCAATTTTGGCCCAGCATTTCCAACATTATGGCCTCACGTGCTCGCCTGCTGGTCTGCTGCTGCTGGGTGGTCTGCTGCAGCTGCTTGGTGTTCTGCTGCAGCTGCTGGGTGGTTGCTGCTGCTTGGTGGTTTGCTGCTGCTGCTGCTTCTTTTCCCCAAATAGTGCTCCGCGCTAAAGGGGTTCTTACGGTAAGAGTTAAGCGGGTTTAGATCAGGGTTCGCGCGCGTGGGCGCGGCATGTTGCGTGGGCCGGCTCGCACAAAAGTTACTTTTTGAATTCCTCATGTCCATTTCGACTGCGCAGGCTCGCATAAAGTGGGGGTCGCGGTTTTCGCGCTTCCGGGACAAAGCTCTTGTGCAGGCGCCGTGCTCGTTTTCGGACCTGAAGTGAATTTCGCGTGGCAGGCGCAAGGAATTCGCCACATTGGAGCCTCGAAAAGGTCATTTTACGTGGCAGGTGCAAGGAATCGGAGACTTTGCAAATTTCGTGGCAGGCGCAGTGTTTTGTGGACGTTGCAAAAACGTTGGCAGGCGTGTGTCATTCGCAGGACTGCGTTTCACGTGGCAGGCGCAGGGAATCCGCACCATGGATGCGATATTTTGAGGTGAAACGGCTGAATTCGTGAGAGGGGTCGCATTTTTGGACTTTGACCTTGAGGATGATTTTGCGTGGCCAGTGCAGCATTTCGTATGACCTGCAGGCATGATTTCGTGGCAGGCACAGCATTTCTGAAATGCATTTCAAAATTTGCGAAAGCCTCGTGCAATTTGCTCATTTTAAATCTCCGATGTGCAGAGTTCGTGGCAGGCGCAGCACTTTGTGAATCTCGATGTGCAGATTTCGT